GTTGCTTTGTCCTCGCAGGAAACTGCTTCAATCAAATGTGATTGCGCTGGTTTCACTTTCTTCTGTGGCGCTTGCCTCGCATTTTTTCGGGGGCTTTGCTGCGCAACAGGGGATGCGGGTGGCGCTGGCGCATGTGCCCTTTGTTCCTGTGGCGGCTGCACCGGTGCACCTGGCGTGCTTTTTTGGCAACGTGTCGGGCAGAGCGTGTGGTGGTGCTTTTTTCCCATTGCACCCTTTGGACAGTCTTTGATGAAATGTCCTGTTATGGCACAGTTGAGACATCTGTTATGCTCACGAAAAACTGTGCGTCTCTCCTCCAATGTAATGCATTTCTTGCAAAACATTGATTTGTGGTCTCCACTCCCACAAAAAATGCAATGCCCACTTCCTATGGACGTCAACTTAGGTCGCTTATTCTCTCGAAAAAACGGTGGTGGGTTTCCATCGGGTTTGGAATGAACCATTTCACTTATTCTCTCTTCCATCGATATGATTTCGTCAAGATCGGCTAAGGCGTTTTGCATTACCCATGCGCTCTCACCTAGGGATGGATCCATTTCTCGCTGGAGTACTTTTCTCTGAAGATCGACAGAAAACTTTGAAAGAATTTTCTGTACGAGGAAAGGATCCATCGAAGGGAAACCCCTTTCTCTTCAAGTTGCGTCACTATTGGAATAAGAATTTCCAAAAGTCGACGCTGTGATGGAATCGATGGTTTGTCGGCCCTAGCACTTTCCAAACGGGACTGTAGACATGCGATGAACTTTGTGTCGTCGCCGTACTTCTTACGCAAAAGATCAATTTCATGGTCATAAGTTTCTTCCGTTACCGGGTAGCGGCGCACAGCCTCGCGAGCTTCACCTTGCAGCGCCCTCAATAAATAGTTGAACTTTTGCAGCTTAGTTAACGGTTGGTTATGAACATTCGCTAACGAAAAAGTCCAAAAATTTTGAAATTCCCAAACCTTACCACTGAATGACGGAATAGGGATAGGTGGTAAGGTTTTCTGCGCAACTCCCGCTTCCCTCACTGACGCGAACTGCGTATGGAAACTGGGTCGCATTTGTGCATGGTCTCGGGCACTCGTACGGTTGCACTCTAATTGGATAGCTGCGGTCTGCGCGAGCTCAAGGACATTATGCGCTTTTGTAACGTAATCGTCCACCTGCTCCTGTTGCTCAGCCGTGAGCGTGTCACCCAATGAGTCACACATAGTCGTAAAGGCATTGAGCGCTTCAATAACCAGATTCACGGAAGAGTTTAGCTGAAGTGTCACAGCCTGAGCTTTGGCCGACTTAGCACTATCGCAGAAGGTTTCTGGATCTGCCTTTATGACTGCCTCGTTTTCCTTTACAATGCGCTCCAAGTTGTTACAGTACCGCGTTAAAAGTGCCTTTACAGATTTCAAGGATGTTGGGCCAGCCATTTTTATGAAAAATTGCAAAGAGACGAGTACGAAAAATGAAAAAACCGAAGAAAATCATTCAAAGTAGAATGATTCTTAGGCGCCGTCAATGAACTACCAGAAAAAATTACGATGTAAGCGTTGTAGTTGCAAATATACCTTGCGTCGACGAATCACAGAATAACCGAGGAAGTATGAAAATCGTACCTCTTTGCAGTCCTGGTTCGGTGGTGATGGTCCGATGCACCACAAACTAATTCCGGTATCGGTGGTTCAATTGCCACGAATATGTACGTCAGATACGCAGTGTAGCCGAATTTTATGTAACTGACGGTGAAATCAGGCGCACAAAAGAGCTCAAGACCTAAGGCCTAAGTGCTAAGTGAGTCATAGCGCATGCCAACGGATTTATATGCGCGTTGGCACTTGCTTCACAAGATCAAGGCGATAAGCGTTGCGAAGAATACATTCTTAAAGCATCGAGACAAAACATAATTTCCTTATCAGATGAGAAAAAGCTCTAAACAACGACATTTTCTTACAAAACATAATTTTTTACAAAAAATCTCTGCAAGTAGATTAAAAAAATCGCGGTATAACCGCGATAGAAATGATTTCATCAGAAACTGCAGTTTTTACACATTCAAAGCGGTGTGTTTCATTCATGGCATAGACTACAGCATAATATGGGTATATCATTATGTTGTAGTCTACCAGCACTATCTCAAGCTTTGTGTCGAAAATAACGCGAAGTTTGGTCAAAATTGGAAAGTTGTCGTAGTGATGTCATGCTGTGTACTAAAGAGCGTGTGGAAGTTCCATAAGAGCATTTGGCCAACACCTTCCAGCAGCGTCGGTGGTGTAGTGGTTAGCGATGTGGATTTCAATTGGCACGCTTGGTCTGGGTTGGTGGTTCGGATCCCCGAGGTTCCGCGCTTTTTGCATTTTTTGTTGGCACTTCAAGATTAGAAGGATAAAGGGTTCAGCACGATCGACCATATCCACACGGAGACTCATTGAAGTTTCACGAGAGTACAAGATGCCGCTTTGTCTCACGTTCATCGACTTGAAGAAGGCCTTCGACTCTGTGGAGACAGAAGCGGTCATCGAAGCCTTGGGCAACCAGGGCGTCCCTACTCAGTACATCAAGATTCTTCGTGAGCTCTACAGCAACTTTACGACCAGAATCTCACCATTCTACAAGGAGGTCATCATCGACGTCAAGAGAGGGGTTCGACAGGGCGACACCATCTCGCCCAAACTCTTCAGCGCCGCTCTCGAGAACGTCATGCGTCAACTGGAATGGGAAGACATGGGAGTGAAGGTCGACGGCCGGCAACTACACCACCTTCGTTTTGCTGACGACATCGTTCTTATAACGCCGAACATCGAGCAAGCGGAGCGAATGCTGGCTGATTTCGACTGCGCCTGTGGTAAGGTTGGTCTACAGCTGAACCTAACGAAGACGATGTTTATGAGAAACGGATTGGTTCCTGATGCCCCATTCACGCTCAACGGAACGAACATCACCGAATGCTCCAGCTACGTGTACCTAGGTCGGGAAATCAATATGATGAACGATCTAGCTCCAGAGCTGAGCAGGAGGAAACGAGCGGCATGGGGAGCATTCAAGAACATCGAGGGAGTAGTGAAGAAGACGAAGAACATCCGGCTCCGTGCCCACCTCTTCGATTCCGCTGTCCTTCCTGCCCTAACCTACGCCTCAGAGACTTGGACTCTGCGCAGGCAGGACGAGCATGCGGTCAGCGTTATCCAACGCGCTGTCGAGAGGACGATGCTAGGAGTAACCCTATACACGCAAGTGCAGAGGGGAATCCGGAGTGCCGAACTACGCCAACGATCGAAGATCAGGGACGCTGCCCGTTTTCGCCAAGGAATCGAAGATAAGGTGGGCCGGACACGTCATGCGATTTTGCGATGACCGTTGGACCAGAGCGGTTACCGACTGGATCCCTCGGGACGTCAAACGAACACCTGGACGACCGCCGGCCCGATGGTCAGACTTCTTCACGAAAGCTCTGAACGAAAGGAATGATGGACTTCGTGTCCCTCGAGCAAGGAGGATCCACTGGACCACCCTAGCACGCGACAGGGACGAATGGAGACGTTGCTGGCGCCCGCTCGAGCAAATCGACGATCAACGGGACGACAGGTGATACAGGTGATACTTCCAGATTGTCGAAATTGCACTGTGACGAAATGGGATGTTTATTCAAGAATTAATTTTACACAGCAAAAAATTGATAGCGTTGAAATGGCGTCAGACAGCGGCGGCTTCAGAAAATTATGACATATCATGACCAGAGCACTGATTCACCCCTATAGCAGAGTTTCAAAGAAAATCGCATTTCTGACTTAACTTCGAAAATTTCCATAGACGTAGTGATATCAAATACTCACTCGCGGGAGGCAAGCTCCGCCACGGGGGGGGAAAAAAAGAAAAAACTGGCGAAAACTACCGCACTCCGACCATCATCACCTCTGCTAACGTCTATTTGGTAGGAACATTTCTGATTTCTTGAAGACGATCTTTTCAGTCATTTCCAAGAGTTCGTCACGCCTGACGTGCTACACAGAGTTTACTTTCTCATGGGGCAATTTTTCGAAGTTAGATCAAATCTTAATTTTTTTTGGAAGCTTTTACTGCAAGGGTAATCTGGTGTCCTGATTACGAATACGACATGCATTCATAGCTCCTTCATCATGTCGGACCCCTATGGCCTGTTCGACGGCACGTCGGTTGCCCTTGTGGCGTCACAACTTTCTCTCACCAGTTTTCGATATAAGCCCAACTTTAAGAGTTTTTTGTTAAGCCTAAGTATATTATAACTGGCCCTGGTAATGGTGTTTCACGGTAAATTTGGTGCCAATTTTGTGACAACAAATCACAATGCAAAAATTTTGTCACCGCAGAGAATTGAACAAGGACCATTTTCTCGCTCCATTTTTACATTCAGAGAGTCATTTAGCGGGAACGGACCATAGCTCTCTACTCCATGCACATCGCTCTATATCCTGCGGAATACCCTTCTGAGAAGGCGCTTTTAGACCTAGGAAAGGCCCATCCCCTCGTGAGTGAGGCAAAGCGCGCCTTACCTAACACTGCCCCCACATCTCCATGTCGGCTGATCGGCCATATAATCAATGATGAGCATAAAAATATGTAAAAACACACAATAGTTAATACTGTGGAGGTCGCTCTGATACCCTTCGAAAGGGGGGTAAAGATTCTGAAAGCAGCGCACGCTTGGCCCTGCTTGGGACTAGGCCTCAAGGAGGTGAACGGATTAATAGGGACTATGCGAGAGCAATATTTTCTTCTTTTTGGCTTCTCTGGTTTTTAGCTCTTCTGCGCTTGGTCCTTGTATCACCTACCAGCGTATAAAGTGCCCTTCTTTTAGATAGGCAGGGCTATAAGCACCATCGTTGTTTTCTTCTAGTAGCAATTTTTGCTCATTCCCACTCTGTTACTATAGACCTAGCCACCTCGATCTTTTGGCAGTAATAATGCAACGAAGTTGAACAAATTTGCACCCGGACGCCACTTACCTCACCTTATCATTGTT